GCTCATGCCTGTAATCCCATCACTTTGGGAGGCTGAGGCAGGTGGATCCCTTGAGCCCCAGATGTTTGAGACCAGCCTGAGAAACAGCAAAACCTCGTCCCTACATAAAATTAGCTGGGCGTGGTGGCGCATATGTATAGTTCCAGCTACTTGGGAGGCCAAGGTGGGAGGATCACCTGAGCGCAGGAAGTTGAGGCTACAGTGAGCCATGATTGCACCACTGTGCTCCAGTGGTGGGAGAAAAAAGACCTCCTCCAGAGCGAGACATGTAACACATGAGGCTCTCATATAACTGTGTCTTGCATAAAGTAGACAAGTCATAAAGTATTTGTTTTAAAAATGCCTATCATTGTACTTCACCTTGATCTAATCTTTTTTCTCATCAACTAGACAAGAAGTCGGCAAACTTCTGTGAAGGGTCAAATATTTTAGGCCTTGCAAACCATAAACTGTCTCTGCGGCATATTCTTCCGCTTGTGTTTTCTAACAATCCCTTTAAAATGTAAAAGCTACCCTTAGGGCAGGGCGCGGTGTCCCACGCCTAGAATCCCAGCACTTTGGGAGGCCTAGGTGGGTGGATTGCTTGAGGCCAGGAGTTCAAGATCAGCCTGGGTAACATGGTGAAACCCCATCTCTACTAAAAATACAAAAATTAGCCGGGCGTGGTGGCGCATGCCTGTAGTCCCAGCTACTCGGGAGGCTGAGGCAGAAGAATCGCTTGAACTCAGGTGGCGGAGGCTGCAGTGAGCCAAGATCACACTACTGCACTCCAGCCTGGGCGACAGTGAGACGCTGTTTAAAAAAAAAAGCTATCGTTAGCTCAAGGCCCTATAAAAACAGGCTGACATGGGATTTGGCCCGCAGGCTGTAGTTTTCCAATTTCTGTGCTATGTCACTGTAAGTATCTTAAGGTCAACTCTGAGTTATGTACTTATATCCCCTAATACCTTGCATAGTACTGAGCATGCAGTAGGTTCTTAGTAAACTCAGAACTCAGTTAAGTTGGAGGTAGAGGAAAACAAGAGAAAAAAGTGGTCAAATTTGGTCTAACAGGAATTTTACCAGGGAGACAAGGCCTACAGTCCAGGCTGAATGACTCAAAGGGTCATTTACCAAAGATGTATAGGTAATGGAAAAAGACAGCTTGTCATACAGTCACAAATCTCAACACTCAATTGTCTCCCCTTCCAAGTATCAACTCTAGTCCCGTAGACAGCTGCCTCCTCGTGTGTCTACTTACAGTGCAGCTGACTGGTACCCACGAAAAAAAAGCATGTAGTTTTTCCCCAGAGCATTTTTTTTGTTCTGTTACTTCACCTTGCTATCTGGTTCTCTTCCCATGCTGCATTCTGAAAAGCTACTAGTGGATCAGGCGCAGTGGCTCATGCCTGTAATCCCAGCACTTTGGGAGGCCGAGGCAGGTGGATCATCTGAGGTCAGGAGTTTGAGACCATCCTGGCCAACATGGAGAAACCCTGTCTCTACTAAAATTACAAAATTAGCCAGGCTTGGTGGCGCATGCCTGTAATCACAGCTACTCGGGAGGCTGAGGCAGGAGAATCGCTTGAACCCGGGAGATGGAGGTTGCAGTGAGCCGAGATCCCGCCATTCCACTCCAGCCTGGGCAACAAGAGCAAAACTCCGTCTCAAAAAAAAAAAAAGAAAAGAAAAGAAACAAAAGCTACTAGCTTAAAGGTAACATCTACCTCCCGAGGTAAGCATAATTTAGCAAATATGGAACTGCCTATATAACTGCTATGAAAAATTCTTAGATGATGGCCAGGAAAGTTTCCTAAAAATAGTTTCTGGATGGGAGCAAGTTTCTGATCCTGCTACAGTTCCAAGATTTGAGACATGCTGAAAATGAATGATGTAAGGAAGGAATAAGTGGATGGAAATGCTCCATGGACACCGTCATGGCCACAGTCCCCATTCCTGGAACTGCCAGAATGCTAGGATGTTGCCGTACCTCCTGAGAGATCCCAGAATCTGTGCAATGCTTTTCCTTAAGGCAATCTGCTTTTTCAAACTCTGGCAAAGTCTGAGGTCAGAGCTGTCTGTCTCAAGAGAAGTGCCTCTTTCCTCTAGCATCCAAAATGTGCATAATTATTGCCAGGAGCTGTCCTATCAATAGCAATCTTCCTGGGCCTGGGGAGAAGAGGGAGGAAGGGGAGAACAGAGATGATATTTCATGTCCTGCTGGGTCTTCAACCTCCATGAAGTGGTAGAGGCAGCCACAGGGGAATGGCTCTATTTCCAGGCACTTCCTTCCTCCTTTTCACCTCTTGAGATCTCACTGCAATGTTCTTTGTTAAGTCTCTGCCACCTCATATTCCCCTCCCCATCTTCATGGAAGGGAAAAAAAGGAACAAGTGGTCCCTTGGGCATTGTAACCAAGCCAGCAGATGCTTCCAAAGGAAGGTAAGTGTCAGATGTTTAACTGCATGACTAAGTAAAACACATTATCTAACCAAGCTTCACTCTGAGGTAGCAAGTCCTATATTTTAGATAAGAAAAAAGGAAATGGGTGAAAATAATTTATTTAAAGACAGGCTGCGAGTGAGTGATGGAGCAGGAAACAGCATCAAAGTTCTTTGATTCACAGGCAGGGTCTTATCTGCCAGAAGAGCCAAGAGTGTGGCAGTGATGCTAGGAGACAGGGACCAAACAGCCAGGGGAGAACAGGAATAAGAGCCCCAGGAAACACTTTGGAAAAAGTCAATTAAACAATTCCCAAGGTTCCGGGTAGCTGTTCTAATGAGTGCCTGGGGGGTCTATGTTTCTGAAGAAGGTAATTCAAAATGAAATGAAAAGATGACTTTGGGACTCAATTCTGCACGTCTGATTTGGAAAAGCTAAGATAGAAAGGCGGAGAAGGAGCTGTAAGAAATACTGAACACATGGTACCAAGGAGAAAATATGCTGTGGGGAATAGACCTTCAAAAGCAACAGCAATAGCTACAATACTGAATGTACTGACAAAAGAGTTGGCAGAAGCTGAGAGGTGAATGTTCTTTTATCCCTGACCATCATTGCAAGTGACAATTTCTTCTTGCTAGCAACCACTAGAATAGTCATCTTTGAGCTGCATGTGGAAAACATAGGTTATAACTGAGCAATGCCATGAAATATATTTTTCCCCTTATTCTGATATGATCTGACATCAACAGAAAGTAGAACAACGGCTAGGAGACCAAAGATTCAGGAAAAAGACTTGGGCTATTATGTCACTTTGAGATGAAGGAACTGATTGAAGCATTCATCTTAGTGTTTGCAATTGTCCTGCTGTGATGGAGTTGTCCACAGCCACTCAGGAGGCATGAGACCATCACCACCATCATTTGAGGTAAGGCCCAGGTCCCTCTTGAGCTGAGTTAGGATAATCACACCAGACAACTTTCCCAACTCACAAGAGATATTAGTAAATTAAGGAAGCAATCAAGATCTGCCGCCGGGTCATCAGGTTAGAGAAAGAATCACTGGGACCAACGTGGTAAGGTAAAGTGAATACAGCAAATAGGAAGTGATATTTCACAAAGGAATTAAGCCTCAGAATGCCAAACCAAAGCACGGATATATAAGGTCAGAATCAAAAGTGGTGGCTGCAGTACCAGTGTTCAGCTCAGATTAGCAGGGCCATCGAAGACTGAGCAAAGAGGAGACTGCCAGGAGGCCTTGATTGTGGGGCTTCGTCCTGACCTGGCCCCACACTGTAGGTTATGGTAGTGACAAGGTGCATGACAGCTTGAAAAGTGGTGGTTGTTGGGCAACACCTAAAGGCAGAGGGGCCCATCTCCTTAAAACTGTGGCCTGCGCTCCATGATCTCCATGTGAATTTTACCAAGATAAGGTTTTACTTAGAAGTTTTCTTCTTCCTGCCACTATGGATGTTTTATTGGTTTCTTCCCTTACTATCTATTGGTGTGCAATCAGGTAGAAAAATGAACTGAAGAACTATTTTAACCGAAGCAAATCACAACGAAGAAGGTAAATCTGCTGCAGAAGGAAAATCCCTTGAAGTCTGTATCTTTATACTGTCTGATGCCTTTGGTTAAATATAGCCGAAGTTATTCCTCCTGCAGTAGTTTATTGAGGCATAGGGTCAGTTCTAAAAGCCATGGGTTTGAGTGAAGTCAATTCAAACCCACTGCTTTTCTCTAACTCAAGCTGGGAAAGCTGGCTCCTTTGCCTTGGCCTGAAGACTGAACGTTGTACATACCAAATTACTACAGAATGAAGGTCTCAGTTAACTTGCAACTTGAACCTGATTCCATGGGTCACTGGTTCTCACATAATTAGGAAACAAAAAGACTCTAAATTACCTATCAAGAGAAAGCTGGGTCGATGCTTACGGACTGACGGATTACTATGTGACAACAACCATTAAGTATGCCTACTATGCAGAAGAACATGAAGAAATGATGTTGGGGATACATGAAAACATTGCCCCATCTTTAAGTTATGTATTACATTTTATCAAAGTTGCAGACTTTTCACTGAATAAGGATGATAACCAAATGGTCACAGCAGGTATGTTTCTAATAATCCCAAAAGTCCTGAGGCCTGATACTGAAAACACAATGTGAAAGAGAAATCTGTTTAGGGTAGGGTTTCTCTAGCTTGGCAATACTGACATTTTGCGTTCAATAATTTTTGTGTGTGTGTGTGTGTGAGGGGCTGTCCTGTGCATTGTAGAATGTTTAGCTGCATCGCTGACCTCCACCCATTAGACGCCAGTAGCAAATCCCCACCCCCTTAAGTCATAACAATCAAAAATGTCTCCAGGCATTGCTAAACATCCCCTGAGGTGCAAAATCACTCCAGTGGTTGAGAACCACTGGTCTAGAGATATTTTCTCTTTAATATCCCATAATAAATATATATACGCTACCGTAAAAGGAACTGAGACAGGACACAAAAGGTTCTAGCACTGATTATTACATGTGGTTTCGGACATTTAAAAATGTATGCTGACATGCTGACAGCAAAAGTATACTCACTGTGTACAAGAAAACAAAAATCTTTCCACATCAGCAGCAGAGTGAGTTTTGTAAAGCCTTCTGCATCATATTCCACGACACCTCTGAGTAATAAAAACATACACACACACACAAAAAAAACCCTCATAAAAATAAGGTAGAAAAGCAATAAAACCAAGTAAAGAATATATTCGTGAAGTCTGGGTTATTGACTCTGAGACGGGTTTAAGGCAAGTGAGGATTAAAGCAGGAACGGTCTGGGGTTTGGAATGACAGTATCTAGGTTTAAGTCACAGCTTTGCCACTATCTACTATGACCTCAGGCAAATCACTTAACCTTTGCAGCCTTAGTTTCCTTACCTGCAAATCAAGCATAAAAATATTTGCAAAATTCATTACAGGGTTGTGAAAAACAAATAAGATAAATCATAAAATACTACACAAATGTTAGTTATTACATTAATTATGAGTAGAAGGACATATTAAGAAATCAAGTCAGCAATGACACTATAATCCCAAATGTCAACATACTACCTGTACAGTGATTGTTAAGTCTGACTTCCACTGGGCACTACACAGTAATATGCAATGACAGTGTTAGTAAATTTAGTATTATATATTACTTTTCTTCTTGAGCTGGGTTAGGGTAATCACACCAGACAACTGTGTCCCCTTTCACTGTGTTCCCCTGTCCTCCCCACTGGGCTCAAGGCAAAATAGCAACATTAGATGGGTGAATGCTGGGTTCAGGAAGGGAGACGCATATTTCATGTGTCAAAAGAGAACATCCCCTGACCTCTGAAGGGGCCAGGCGCAATTCTGTAGGCTTACCTCATCCATTTCCCTCAAGAGCTGAGCACCTGGAGGATGTCGCCATAATGGGACAATACTAACCACGCTAAGGACAGATATAATTTTCTTTCTCATCCATACAAGGAGGACTCTGATGTCCTTAGAGATGTGATATCCCTGACCAAACCAGGCCAATCAGATCACTGATACTGATGCCCTCCCAGTTTAAGTTGGAAGGAACAGTTAACACTCCTTGTAAAGGTAAAAGAACTAAGACACTGAAGGGTAAGTGATCTGCTAAAAAATGGTTGGTATATCATTCCGATCTTAAGTTGATAATTCTTTAGTTTATATTTCTCTCTATGAATTTATTTATTTATTTATTTTTGAGACAAGAGTCTCAACCTATTGCCCAGGCTGGAGTTCAGTGCTGCCATCTTGGCTCACTGCAACATCCGCCTACCAGGTTCAGGTAATTCTCCTGCCTTAGCCTCCTGAATAGCTGGGATTACAGGCGCCTGCCACTATGCCTGGCTAATTTTTTTTTAATTTTTTAATTTTTTTGAGACAGAGTCTAGCTCTGTTGTCCAGGCTGGAGTGCAGTGGCATGATCTCGGCTCACTGCAACCTCCATCTCCCAGGTTCAAGTGATTCTCCTGCCTCAGCCTCCCAAGTAGCTGGGATTACAGGTGCCCGCCACCACGCCCAGCTAATTTTTGTATTTTCAGTAGAGATGGGGTTTCACTGTGTTGGCCAGGCTGGTCTCAAACTCCTGACCTCATGATCCACCCACCTCGGCCTCCCAAAGTGCTGGGATTAGAAGTGTGAGCCGCCGCGCCCAGGCTAATTTTTGTATTTTTTAGTAGAGACAGGGTTTTGTCATGTTGGCCAGGCTAGTCTCGAACTCCTGACCTCAGGTGATTCGCCCACCTTGGCCTCCCAAAGTGCTGGGATTACAGGTGTGAGCCACTGTGCCTGGCCTCTCTATGAATTTATAATTAGCCCAATAATGTTATAGTGCTGATAATCAATACTTTTCAGATCCTGCATCCCATAGGCAAAGACAAGTATGTAATCCATTTTAGTATATTACTGTACTACATGCATAATAAAATATACAGAAAAAAGTATATTTAAAAAGTGAGATTTGAAAGCAAATGTAAATGTAGTTTTCATATTTTTCTTGTACTCCAATAGAGTGAGCTGTGTAACTTCTGCGGTGTGTGTACTCCATTCTGGAGGCCACTGTGCTAGCTTCTTCATGTTCAATTATATATACTGAAGAAAATCTTACTTAAAAATAAGAAGATCAATGGTATTATTTATTAACCACTATTTGTATCAAAAGTTACTTTCTCAAAATGTTCACAAACAAAGCTGAAAAAAATCGTAAGTATTAAAGACTCATGTGAGAGACAGTCATACTGTTTGGTTATTGACACTTCTATTTTGGAGAAACAAAAAATTCCATTATGGGAATGAGAAAAATGTCTTAAAATTGGTTTGAGGAGTCAGAAATTTTCTTATATCCCAGAGGGTGACAAATCATTTTCTTGGTTTCATCTTCTCTTCCCTATTCCTAATTTCCTTTTATCCTAATTTCCTTATTTAAAAATTTAATTTTGTATTACTAGATATATTTATATATTTATAAGCCTTCTGTGGAATAAGGTGGGCTATCATCAGACCTCTAAAACCCTTATTGCCTAGTTACCCACAATGGGTAGAATGTTCCACCTTCTAAAGATCGTGAGGAAAACCCATTCCCTGTCCCACTGAGCAAAGCCCAAGGAGAAGCTTGATCAGGCCTCTGACTTCCTTAAGGAAACAGGGCTGCAGGGCAGCATGGCCACAGGCAGCCAGAAGGAAAGGGCAAAGGCACAGGGATGGAGCAGCCAGGGGTGCCCATGGTGTCACAGGCTTCCTTCTCCCCTCTCGGTGCTTGCTTTCAACTCCTAACCTCGAGTGCGAGCCACAGCTTTTGCATCGAATGCTGGATTTCCTCCCCAGATCTGTGTGGCACTGTTGGCAGTGGAGTCCTATCAGGAGGCCTGAGTCCTGGGGAAATGGGGTTCCTGCCCTGGCTCCACTTCTTCTAGGGGTGTGACTTCCACTGGGTTACTGAACTTACCACAGTTTCAGAGCTTCTTCCACTAAATGTCAGTGATGCCTGCCTGGTTCACCCCATGGCTACTGTGAGGGCACGGAGGTAAAAAGTGCTATGCCAATTGTAGAGAGTTCTACAACAAGTGACTGTCACCACCATTACTACTGTTGTGTTCAGGGCTGTCCAGGCTGCTGCTCTAGGGAAGATATTTGATTCTACTATTTGCCAAAGAATACCGAAGGGGCAAAAAAAAAAAAAAGGGATCCTGGGAGCTTTGGTATAAACAGCATACCAAAAAGGATCAAAGTAGCATTAAAAAGGTATCATGTGAGGCCGGGTGTGGTGGCTCACGCCTGTAATCCCAGCACTTTGGGAGGCTGAGGTAGGCGGATCACGAGGTCAGGAATTTGAGACCAGTCTGGACAACATGGTGAAACCCCATCTCTACTAAAAATACAAAAATTAGCCAGTGTGGTGGACCATGCCTATAATCCCAGCTACTCAGAAGACTGAGGTAGGAGAATCGCTTGAACTCGGGAAGTAGAGGTTGCAGTAAGCCAAGATCGTGTCATTACATTCCAGCCTGGGTGACAGAGCGAGACTCTGTCTCAAAAAAAAAAAAAAAAGTATCATGTGTAAGAAGTAATTGCTATTTTCTCAATCAAGCCCCATGTTGAGGTCATCAGCAAGCGAGGGCATCACTGGTATATCGTTCAAACAGAGCAGAACTTACGTGCCAAAGTGACTGAGGAAAGCAGCAATATACTCTCTTCTTTTGTGATACCCTTGAATCACATACTGCACCTGGAATAGAAACCCAAAGCTGAGAAGTAGAGTGGGAAGCTTTTAAACGCTTTATTATAAGAAATTACAAAGATTCAGAGAAGCAGAAAGAATAGTAAAGTGAACACCGGTATTCCCACTACCTACATTCAACAGCTATGACTCCTGTGCCTACTTGCTTCCTCCAGCCATCCATCTGCCTATCAACCTATCAATCAACACTTCAAAGCAAATGAGAGACATCATGACAGTTCACTCCTAAATATTTCAGTATGCATCTCTAAAAAATAAAACTTTCTTCTACATAACCACAATACCATTATCGTACCCAACAAATTGAGCCATCAGTCTCTGAATTCATCTAGTACCCTGTCCATTTTCAGAATTTCCTAATTGTCCCCAAAATGTTTATTTTTATTTTTTTAATTCAAAAGAATTAAAATAAATTAATTTTTTTTTTTTTTTTTTTTGAGACAGAGTCTCGCTCTTGTTGCCCAGGCTGGAGTGCAATGGCGCAATGTCAGCTCACTGCAACCTCTACTTCCTGGGTTCAAGTGATTCTCCTCCTTCAGCCTCCCAAGTAGCTGGGATTATAGGAGTACACCACTATGCCCTGCTAATTTTTGTATTTTTAGTAGAGACGAGTTTTCATCACGTTGTGCAGGCTAGTCTTGAACTCTTGACTTCAGATGATCAGCCTGCCTCAGCCTCCCAAAATGCTAGGATTACAGGTGTGAGCCATTGAGTCTGGCTCAAAATGTTTTTTAAAAAGCAATGTATGATTAAGGATCAGGCATTTGTTTTTAATGCCTTTTAAGTTTCTAAATCTATAATAAATAGTACCTCCTTGAGTGTGTGTATGTGTGTGTGCCTGCATGCACATATATGACACTGATTTTTCAAATAAATTGGACTATATCCAGATGCAGAATCTCACGCATGTAATCCCAGTACTTTGGGAGTCTGAGGCAGGAGGATTACTTGAGGCCAGGAATTCAGGACCAGCCTCAGCAACACAGCCAGACCTCATCTCAACAAAAAATAAAAGAAATTAGCTGGATATGGTGATATGCACCTATAGCCCTAGCTACTCAGGAGGCTGAGGCAGGAGGAATGCTTGAGCTCAGGAGTTCAACGCTGCATTGAGCTTAGATGGCACCACTGCACCCCACCCTGGGCCACCTCATCTCTTTAAAAGAGCAAGACCTTATCTCTTTAAAAAAAAAAAAAGAGAGAAAAAAGAAAAGAAATTGGGCTAGTAGTCTTATAGAATGTCTCAATTCTGTTTTCTTCCTTTTTCCTTTACTCTCTGTATTTCCAATAAATTAGAAATTAGAGCTAAAGGGTGATTAGGTCCAGTTTGAACATTTTTGGCAAGAAAACTTCCTAGATGATACTGGGCCTGATCACTTGGCTGAGGTGACGATAGCCAGACCACTCCACTGGAAGGAAATGTTCCCTCTGCCACAGTGAACAGTCTATGGACCTACCCTCTGAAGCGTGGGAAGACCTCGTTTCCCATCAACTTTTCACCTAATGGCTTTAGTATTTATTGGAGATCCTTGTCTGAATCAATGATTTCATTAGGGACTGCAAAATGATGATTTTTGAATCCCATCATTCCTTTTGCAAATATCAGCTGACATTCTCTGTAAAGAGCTTTCTCTCATCAAATGGGGTTATTTGGTTATCTTGAGCTCCTATTAAAAAAGGCAGAATAATGCTTCTCTAGTTTTAAAATTCTAATATCAGAATAAGGAGTATTACAATAGGAGATTTTATTTCACTTTGCCTTTTTATATTTCCTCATTATCACCCAATGACAGTTTCTATAAAAAAATTGTGCACTCATTAAGCTAGGCATCTGAAAGTTAGTCATTTGCCCACCAGCTTCTAACACGAAAACACATTCCTTATAATGTTCTCATGATGGCTGGAAGAAACGGTGGGAAGGAGAGACCCCCAAAATTGTTTATATTGGCTATAGCCACACTGAGTTTCCACGGCTAACAAAAGCTCAAGATAGAGTGCTTGAAATAACCTTGAAACAATTGGTACTGATAGCCACGTTGTACCCTTTAAATGTAAAACAATTCTATTTATATAATAGGGGTTTATGTCAATTTATAAAAACAGTGCTTACTTTGCAGGCTTAACGCAGGATCAGAAATGTTATTTTGGGAAAAGAAAAGCAGATGATAAGTTTGCTTAAGTGGCTTTGTTTAAAAGGGGGATGAAAACAGTTCTGTATACTTGATTTTAAAAACAGAAAACCATTTTAACAGAAACCCACAACAAAACTGGCTATAAAGATAGATTCCAATATAATTATGGAAATTCATTTGAAGAGATTGTTTCTAAAAGCAGCCCATACTGTCCTCATTTGTAGCAAACAGAAGAACACCAATTTCAAAAGACAAGTAAAATTAATGAAAGAAACCAGATAAGAAAAATTGACTGATTCTTATATTTCTGGGAAAACGGTGTTATAATTTTTTTGAGGAAAATGTATGACTAGAAATTAATCTCAATTGGAGAGCTTTAAAAAGGCTTTTCTTCTCCCTTCTAGAAGACCAAATTTGCATTTTTCTCTATAATTCTGGGACACAGATTTGAAGGCAGTGCAAAGCCCCAGAATGTAAATAAGAATTCTGTCCTCCAATCAGTTTTGCAGGAGGGCAAGAGGCTGGGGAAATTTGGTCTGATGAGAAGCAACCCCTGCATGAGGGTTAAAGCCTGGAATCTGTGCCTGGCCCACAGACGGCGGAGTTGCTAGATTTTAGTTTCTCTGATATTTGAAAAATAATACTGAAGCTCTTGAAAGATTATTGTACCTTTAAACTATTTTCTATATAGAAGTGAGCTATCTTTTGAGTGAAAGAGACAAACAAAAGATCTACTTTTCCAAGCCAATGTGAACAAGTCAACAGGAGCAAAGAAAACTGCACTCTGGCAACTAAACAAACTGAGTCACAGTCTATGTGGGAGAAGAAAGAGACTCAGCATTGCTTGTGCATCAGTATCGCTAGTTTTCAGCTAAATATACTAGCTGGACATTAACAAGTATATTCTTATACTTTTTGGAAACATCTAACAATAACCATTAGACTCAGCTACTTGCTAATGTAATGGCTCATTCATGTAGCTAAGAGAAGCTTTAGGTCATCTGACTGAGTGTAAGACCAGCTGACTGGCTGGGCGCGGTGGCTCACACCTGTAATCCCAGCACTCTGGGAGGCTGAGGTAGGCAGATCACCTGAGGTCAGGAGTTCGAGACCAGCCTGGCGAACAGGGTGAACCCTCATCTCTACTAAAAATACAAAAATTAGCCAGGCGTGGTGGAGGGTGCCTGTCATCCCAGCTACTCAGGAGGCTGAGGCAGGAGAATGGCTTGAACCTGGGAGGCGGAGATTGAGGTGAGCCGAGATCGCACCACTACATTCCAGCCTGGGCTACAGAGTGAGACTCCGTCTCAAAAAAAAAAAAAAAAAAAAAAAAAAAGAAAAAAAAAGACCAGCTGACTTGGGAATCTTGCCCCTAGGCAAAGGACACTAGTGAACCGCTCCCAGGTATGACGAGAAGAATCAAAGGCTGACTATTAAAAAGTAAAGTACAGAAATGCAGAGAAAGATGAAGGCAGTTTTAAACAATCACTCTGATATCAACTACTGCCAAGCACAAGCACAAGCACACACGCATGCATGCTCTGGATAATTGGGAAGCAATGGGGTTCCAAAGTTTTAAAGTTTAAGAAGGTGCAAGAACTGGCAAAAACTGGGTAAAGGAAATTCAAGAAAGACGTGACTTAAATCCCAGACACAAAGTTAAGAGATGAAGACTGGAACAGGAGGTCAGAATCCTTAGAAAAGGAAGAAGGAGGGCAAAGAAATAGAGAAACAGATTAACTGTAATTCACAGTAGGAAGGGCAGGTATCTATACAGAGGCTGAAACTGAGCAGACAGTCTGAGAAGGATGGAGCATGCACGATGACTCTGGGTACGTGGTGGACTGGAGGAAGAAATCTCACAAGAGGGATGAGTTGGGGACTTGCTTTTACCTTGTTGGTGAGCAGGTGGCATACTTGAGGAACGTAATCAATGAGACATCCTCCTCCTGGGAAAGCTGGGATATGAAGAGCTGAGGAGCCTCCAAGTGCACTGAAAGGACAAGAGTACAATGGACACTTCTCTTAGGGCTTAAGCAACTTAAGAAGTGTTACCCCCAAGCAGACTCGGCTTCTCTCATCAAAGTCTGGCCACCGACTGCCTAGGTTAATGACGATGGGTACATGGGCTTCACTTTATGATTACATTTCTGCATTTTAATTCATTTTAATAAATTAGCATGTTTGCATTATACATCATTGATAACATGCAACAGTACAAATTAGAAAATTTTGATTGGCATGGGATGGGTAAATGTCTTACCAACACCAATGGGCTGCAGGTATTACTGAAACATACACTTTCATACTCTTCATTATGCCCAATTCTTTGCTGGGCACAGGTAAGTTATTCATTAAACACTGAAACTGAACTAAAATGAATTGCTGCAACACTGTAACAGAGTTCTAAAGAGACTAATTCTACAGCTTATCGGCCATTATCTTGTATTTCAAAAGGTATACAAGAAGGTGCAGTCAATAATCACTGATCCAAGTAGTAAGATACAATGTTGATTCAGAAATAATTTCCAGATCTTTCAGAAATTCCTTTTTTCTGGCCGGGCGCAGTGGCTCACAACTGTAATCCCAGCACTTTGGGAGGCTGAGGTGGGGGGATCACCTGAGGTCAGGAGTTTGAGACCAGTCTGGCCAACATGACGAAACCTGGTCTCTACTAAAAATACAAAGATTAGCTGGGCGTGTGGTGGTGGGCACCTGTAATCCCAGCTACTCAGGAGGCTGAGGCATGAGAATCGCTTGAACCTGGAAGGCGGAGGTTGCAGTGAGCCAAGATCACACCACTGCACTCCAGCCTGGGCGATACAGCGAGACTCAGTCTCAAAAGAAAAAAAAAAAAACAAAAAAAACAAAAACCTCTTTTTTTTCAGTTTAAATTAACCAGCACACAATTATTAAAAGAAATTGTTCAGAACTTTAAAGCATACATTTCATTTATCACCCTTAATCTTCACTTCATCTTCTTTCCTATGCTCCCTTTCCTTTTGCCTTAGCTTGTTTTTCTTTTCTTAATTTCATTTTAATGCATATACTTCTATAAGTCCCCTAAACCCTCTCTGTAATACGATGGGATATTTTTAAAAATCCCTAAAATCCCTTAATGTTGTGATTACTTCTTAATGTTGTGATTATTTATTTATAATGTTGGATTATTATCCAAGACCCCACAGTTACAAGGTTGTAAGTGGAAGAAAAAGATGTGACAATAACTGCCTAGAAAATCATTTCTTTTTTTTTGAGACCGAGTCTTGCTCAGTCGCCCAGGATGGAGTGCGTTGGTGTGATCTTGGCTCACTGCAAGCTCCGCCTCCTGGGTTCATGCCATTCTCCTGCCTCAGCCTCCCAAGTAGCTGGGACTACAGGCGCCTGCCACCACGCCAGGTGAATTTTTTGCATTTTTAGTAGAGACGGGGTTTCACCGTGTTAGCCAGGATGGTCTCGATATCCTGACCTTGTGATCCACCCGCCTTGGCCTCCCAAAGTGCTGGGATTACAGGTGTGAGCCACTACACCAGGCTAGAAAATCATTTCTAAAGAGTTCAGGTCAGCCAGGTGCAGTGGCTCACGACTATAATCCCAGCACTTTGGGAGGCTGAGGTTGGTAAATCACTTGAGTCCAGGAGTTCGAGATCAGCTTGGACAACATAGGAAGACTTCATCTCTACAAAAAATTTTAAAAATTAGCCAGGCATGGTAGTGCACATCTGTAGCCTTAGCTATTCAGGAAACTGAGGTGGGAGGATCACCTGAGCCTGGAGGCAGAGGTTGTAGTGAGCCAAGATCGTGCCTCTGTACCCTAGCCTGGGCGACAGAGTGAGACCCCGTCTCAACAAACAAACAAACAAACACACAAACCAAGAAAGAGTTTAGGGCACTTTGATTCAGTGTAGGGTTTGTGATACAGGGAGTATGTATGTGAATGTGCATATACATGTATAAAACACTACTAAAAGGACTACAAACCCATCCTGTCTCTCTATTGACTACAGATTTCTGAAATTAATTTTCTTGGTAAAAATAAATTGAGTGGGGCCGGGCATGGTGGCTCACACCCGTAATCCCAGCACTTTGGCAGGCTGAGGTGGGTGGATCACAAGGTCAAGAGATCCAGACCATCCTGGCCAACATGGTGAAACCTTGTCTGTACTAAAAATACAAAAATTGGCTGGGCGTGGTTGCAGACCCCTATAATCCCAGCTACTCGGAAGGCTGAGGCAGGAGAATCGCTTGAACCCAAGGAGGTAGAGGCTGCAGTGAGCCGAGATCGTGCCACTGCACTCCAGCCCGGGCGACAAAAGTGAGACTCCATCTCAAAATAAATAAATAAATGAATTTTGTGTTTGCTCATGCAAATAAAAAGTCTAAATGAACAAAATCTCAAGTGACACAAGGAAGTCAATGTGGAGTGGAAATATTCAATATTGACTTTTTCTACTCAGATCTAACCTAAAAGCACAACTCTGACAGTTGAGAAAATTGTAAGACAGTGTTTGGCTAAGTATGACATTAATGAATCATCTGCATTCTGCAACTGCCTAGAATCAGCAAGGCCATCATTTCCTTTTGCTACGCTTAGAGTAGGCATTACATTAGATTTAGCCTAAACTCTGAAGACAGCTACGAAAATTCCTATGACTTCCTATAAACCAGAGGAAGGCTTTTTGTCTCCTCTTTTTGTATGCACAAATAACACAGAAGGCACACATCTAACCAGAAGGTTCTAATGATTTCATTAGGATAGAAAGCTGATTAAGAAAAAAATAATCCATAGTGCAAGAAAAATAAATACAATATTTATGTCCTGTAGCTACTGGTTGAATATCTGTATAACATAGAGAATGACAAGATCCAAGCTACTCATAGCTCACTTAGACGAACAATCCTTGGCATAATAAAATTCCAAAAAAGAAAATAATTTGGACACTTCCCTGGAGTTGACAGTAATAGGCTTTGAATTATATAAAATATTACAGTCATTAAATTATATGCAAGGAAGGAAAACAGTCTGAGTAATCCTTTAAACTTGAAACTGTCTCCCTCTGTTTTGATTGTGCCATTCTGAAATACAGTCGTTAGACAAAAATCACCTGTAATGACGGAGGAAAGCAGAGGTGTGAAGAGCTCCAAAGGCCAGGTGTTCTGCTGCCAGGCCCATGTGTCGGCACCCTGCTTTGGTCACTACCAAGAACTAACACATGTTGCTAGGTGCTTTATCATATTATCTAATTAAATGCTCTCCATAGTTCAAAGAGGTGGGAAGTATTGTTGTAATTTCACATGTGAAAAAACTGAGGCTCAGAGAACAGAAAATACTGCCTAGGTTCACACAATTAGACAGAGGTAAAACCAAGATCTGAACACAGGTTTGCCTGTCACCAGAGTCTAGGCTGTTTCTGCTGATATATGTTACCTCCCTGAGAGCAGGGGGATTTTTAATCATGAAAGACTACAGGGATGGAAAGAAACAGCGGATCTGGCTATCAGTGAGCCAGGCCAGCATCCCAGTATGATGAGGGGCTCCTAGAGGCTTCAGACCGTCACCAAAGTAGACACTGTGATGTATGGCTCATTTCCATTTACAATTTCCCACACAGCAGCAAGGCAGGATCTCCTCTTAATTTTGTTAATATCTCAGTACTCTCCCAACCCAACCATCAAACAATCAGATTCATTTGATCTCAAATGTGACGGACTAGCCACTCTGGCAGGTCTGATTCTGAATGACTTGGTTGGCTGTCCGGGGTGAGCCTCAACAAGTGTAAAGCACTTTAGGCACTACGAAAGATAGTTTTAACTGAGAGTTTATTTTTTAAAGGACGTCATTTCACCCTTTATTTAACTCAGTAGTTTCTTAGCTTGTAAGGGTCCAAAATCTACATCCAGTGTCACACACTGATAAGTGCTGCTGATTCATGTATAAATATCCGCCTCATGGGTAAATATTTAACAGGCTTGCTATAGCCTGAATGCTGCCCTGATCATGCTGAATAAACTAAGTCAAGTGCCATGAAATAAAGGGTCATTATGTTTTTAGAGGGTGCAAGATGGTGGTAAGGCCTTGTGATCTCTAATTCTTTAATATTCATGAATCAAAAAATATTGGGCTGAGCATGTACAACAGGAAACTCACCCTGTGCAGAGACAAGACATTCCCAGGACTGCAGGGCTGGCTGAAGAGAAGGCAGGGCCTGACTAACCCACTAAGTGGCTGGGGAAGAATTATGAGGAGATGAAAGGGACCACTTGGCATTGATACTCCTGACCTGCAGAGTGGCGCGGTGAGGAAGCAGGGTGAGAAGGAAATCGGTGTGGCAGGGGCTCAGGCTTCACTTGGGAGGAGAAAAGGATGAAAAGGGCTGTTCTGATGAGAGGGTACCTTCTATCTCTTCATGGAATAAAATAAAACATGAAATTAGTTGATAATTCTTAGAACTGAAACTTAATCTGTGGATATAAATTAGAAGGACGAGGCCAGAGTTTTAAAAACTTTTCCAAAGGTAGGGGTAATTAAATAGGCCAAAATGAAACCAGAAAAGCATTTCCAGGGTAGTCTTCTTGGCTCTAAAACTTAAATGTAAGAACTGTCTATACTGAACGTATTAATACTAGTCTTTTCCATGCAAATGAAACTCATAGAGTCCTTTGTGAACTTCGGTCTGTCTGCAAATTATCACATCTCTAATATAGTCATGAGCCACACACAACATTTCAGTTAATGACGGACCCCATACGTGACAGTTGTCCCATAAGATTACAATACCGTATGCTTACTGTTCCTTTCCTATGTTTAGAAATGTTTAGATACACAAATACTTACCATTGTGTTACAATTGCCTATAGGATTAAGTACAGGAACATGCTGTGTACGTCTGTAGCCCAGAAGCAATAGGCTCACCAGATAGCCTAGGCGTGTAGTAGGCTGTCTATCTAGGTTTGGGTTGGTACATTCTATGATGTTTGCACAATGACAATACT